AGGTGGGCCTCTGTTCGGGGGCTTGCCGGTGATGGAATCCATATATCTCTCTGTAACTTTCTGCATTCACGCTCATATCATGCGGCCTCACGTCGCTTCATAAATACAGGCGCTTCCTGCCTGTGGGGTTCTCGCAAGGGCACTGATTCTAGGCTCAAATGATGAAACATTGCCTTTGTTGGAACCAACACAGCGAGATGCTCCTATTAAATAAGACAAACAGGTGGCTGGATGTTTTGTGATCATTTTAACAATTGGGTTCAGGTTCCGTTCCCTCTTCTAAATTAACTGCAAAGAGATCTATCACCCAGGCCAATAACTTACCTGGCAGGTTGTATGGCCCTCACTGTCTCGGCCTCTGTGATCATGGGTGTGAATCATAGCGTTTATGCTGCCTAAGGCACCGGCATAAGAAAGCACAGCCTAGACCCAGCTGATTAAGCTGTAGCATAAAACAACACTTCAGTAGTCAGGCACATGACAGCTCACGATAGTTTATTAGACCAAAGAGTATAACATTGTAATTTACTTCTCTAATACATGTCATGTTCTCTCTTATTGTTTCCCTTATGGAGTGAAATATGCAGGAAAGAGATTGCTGTACAAGCTTCATGTGTTATGCCCCTCCAAAATTAGAGGGTAACAAACTGTCTTTATTATCCTGTGCCTTTGGTAAGCTGCCACAAATCACAGAAGCCACGGCAGGTGAGCATCTAGTGACTTAGAAAGTCAAGGCAAACTAAAAGACTTCATGTCTCCGCCTGAAGCTATTTCTGAACTACGGTTGCAGCAAGACACAATTACTGCACTTCCTGACCCTTCCTTTTTATTGTGAGCTCCTAACCAATTTTTCTTTCTTACTGACAGGAAACCAGGATTTATAAAGTCGGGCTTGATGCAAATATTTCAAGGCTTAATTTCCCCCTCAATGCAACAGCCTAAGTTGCTTAGCGTTTCGGTGAGTTCACTTTCCTCTCTAAACTGGGATTCATGGCTGCTCTCCCGCTGCAAACAGCCCAGTCACAGATAATTTAAAGAGAATAGCTTACTTGTTTGTCAAGCAAACATGTGTAATCTGATGAAATTATTAATGTCATAGTGTGAACTCTCTTCTCATAAATACAGTTAGCAGTGCTGACACTGCTAATGCTCTGGCTCCCTGCTCATTCGCTCGATCTGTCAGTCCGGTGTGGGGGAGACAAATTGTGGTGGGCACTTGACAATGCACAAAAGAGATATAAACCTCGTCTGATTAAACCTTGGTGAAAGATTAAATGGTTCTGAATGTTTGCCAGATTCTTACGGTGTGACATTTTTTTTCACCAGTGGTAATAAAAAGTCCTGTTCAATAGAGGTTTTTTTTAAAAAAGATTGCGGGGAGATCATATACATACGTCTACATAAGTAATGTGCACGTACACACATGACAGGCTCGGTGAGAAAGAGCAGTCTCTTTTCAGCCCGGAATCAAGCTTTATCGCCATATCATAATATGCTTGGTGCCCTCTGGATGTCTATAGTAATTTGTTGGAGAAGAAATGACAGCTCACATGTTCCCAGGGTGACTGCTCTGCTCCCTGTTATCCTAATCCATAGCGAGACCCTGCTCAGACTAGCCCCTTCAGAACAAGGGTCTCTGTTCTCATTGGGTACTACTGTCAATAAAAATGTCCCCATGCCTGATCTAGCAGCAGTGGAGAGTGGAGTACACTCGTCTTCTTCAGCCTTATCGTTTTTCAACTCACTTTATACCTCTTCTATTTTTGATATGAGGTCACATAAAAATAGACAAAGTAATAAATAATGGTTAACACATCGACTATACTTTTGATAGCTCTTCCCATGTCCAAGGATTGCTCTGGTTCTTTCATATCCTCCCCGTCCTTTAATTCTGCATACCATACAGCTCCTTGTATTTGCCCGCATTTGCAGATGAAGAAAAGGAGGTACAAAAAGGGAGAAATAACTTGCTAAAGTCAAGCAGGTAATGACAAGTGAGTTAAGGCTTGAATATAAAGTATGGTCAGAGTACATGACATACTTGGGTGAAGCAATCATTGTAAAACTCATCACTTCATATGTTAATACTTTAATAAAATATTTAAAATAAAAGAGACTTGAATATAGACATGTAACAATATGAACCTAGTGATTTAAAATTGTGTCTGTTGGTACCATCTTTATCAAGAGATTGTTACCCTTTCATGGTCTACAAGATCTTCTCAAATTTCCACTTAACACAGATAAATACTTGAATATAAAATAATTAAAAATGGATACTTTAAAAGTCTCCAGCATTAGGTACACATATAGTTCCAGCACTTCAGAGGCAGAGACAAGAGAATTTCTGATGTGGGATTCCCCTCTGTATGCTGTGAATGTTTTACTACCATATTCCTTAATGAAGAAGCTAATTTGACCTATGGCAGGGCAGGATACAGCAATGCGAGAAATCCAAGCAGAGATAGAGGAGGAAAGTAGGTGGAGTCAGGCAGACACCACATGTAGCTGCTCAAGAAGCAAGAGGTAACAAACCACGAGCCTCGTGGTAAAATACAAAATAATAGAAGTGGGGTAATTTAAGATGTAAAAGTTATTTAATAAGAAGTCTGAGCTAATAGGCCAAACAGTGTTGTAGTTAATATAGTTTCTGTGTGATTCTTCAGGTCTGGGTGCCAGAAATGAAAATACAGTCTCCATTTATATATTTCCATGGGTCCAAGATAGCCTAGTGTGCATAGTGAGTACCTGGCTAGCCAAGGCTACATTGTAAGACCTTGCCTCGTAAATCTGAAAACAAGCAACCAAACGAACAAGCAGTCACAGCTTCACAGATTTATAATTAGGAATATCCATATTAACGACTGTACTAAATTGGATGATTTCTTTAAATAACAAAGAAACCTCTTGTAACTCAGTCCTCTAGCAACAGAAGCAAATGCAAGTGCATTCACTGAAAGTATAAGGAGACAGGGAGTCGGAAGAGGCAGGCCCTCTCTACCCGAGCCTCGCTGGCTTGCAGCTAAACTGAAATACGAACACAGACAGCCTTTTGTACTCAGTTATGGCTGAAACCTCCTCGAAAATTTGGAAGGAACCTACAGGATTCATTCCAATGCCTTTGTCTTCTTCATGTTTGGTTAGTAAAATGTGTACTAGGGCCTTGTCTCCTCCATTGTAGGAAACTTGTTGGGGGAACAATCCTCTTAGGAGGGTGGCATGTAAAGCAGTCAGTAGAAGAAACCAGTCTTAAAGGGAACAAGCTGAGGACAAAGCGAGTTCCGCAAAGCGAGAAAAACACTTTCCGTTATGCTAAGCGCTGATCTCCCACTCTGAAAGTTCATTGTATTTATTTGTCATCAGAATAATTATTCTGCACTTGTTGCTAAGTCTGTTGCTTTCTTTCTCGGGAGCAGAGTCACTTCGCTCACTTCTAATCTCTGCCTTCTAAATGCGATAAGCACTATAAAATTTCTTTCCTTGTATGGGAATTCTAAGGTCTTTTTTTCCCCCCTCAACAGCTTGAATTCCTGTATTCTGATTAAGATAGATGAAGTATTTGCATTCTATCCATATTCATAATCCTCTTTCAGAAGTCAACCTAAAATACCACACTTGTTGCCCAGGCAGAGACAGCAATGTGCTAGCACACTCCACAGCTTTTTGTCTTGATGGATAAGGACCCTTCACTTTCAAATTCAACACAAGAGTGGCCGCTAGGTGAATTCGGCCTCTAAAAAACCCAGGACAATCATAGCGTCTTTTGTATGTGGCAGAATGATAATTAATGATCCCCCCTTTTATGCTACAGAAAAGAAGAAGGCAGTGCATTTGACAGACATGTTATTAATAGTTTCTGCCAACTTGCCATGCATAAAGGGTTTATTGGTTACAACACCAGTGTATGAAGACATTCTTTTCCTTGAAATGTTCAAGATGGTTGTTTTATGGATGAAAAATGAATGCAATCTGTCTACCGCCACTCAAAGTTTGGGTTTCAATAATAAAATTAAAATGAGTGTGACATTTCCTTTTGTGGTATTTAACCATCTGCTTCCTGCTGGTCAACGCAATGATGGCCTTAGCTAGGTAGTCTTCATTTAAGAAGACCTACCAATTTTGTGTCTCATGAATAATTTATAAAGATGTATTACTGATGAAGGTACTTGCATATAGGCCATTGCTCCTCTGATAAAAGTGGATTCTTTTATCTTTGGTTTAACTTTTTTTTTCTTCTTTTTGCCTTGACAAATAACAATGGCTGCTTGGAGCCCCTCAAGAAGTAGAAATGTAGACAGCATACGCAGGCGCAATGTATACCAGTGACAAATTCTTGTCAGGTGGGTTATGTATGTGACTTTAGGTAAGTGCCTGATATTTACTGACTTAACATTAATTAAAAAGATAGGTTCCCAAGTACTTTCTCAGCAATAGTTAAATCTATTGACTTGATTTACCCTCTTTTTAAATTGCTTCATGAAAGTTTTTCTTTAGGGTGGATCTGCTATGTTAATGATTTCTGTCCATCAACTAATCAGGAGAAAAAAAAAACCACTTTAAAACAAATGGGTAAACAACGCTTTACTACATGGATTCTCAATAAAGCAATGGGAAAACTGCCCAGCAACCAGCCTAGTCCTCCTCACAGAGGGGTGGGAAGAGGAATGGTCAATATTTTAGTGAGTGTTTGGGTTTTGTGTCAGATAAGATAGAATTTAGACATATGAAGCATTAGGTTCAGAAGTATTCTCATTATTGCCAAAAAATATGCCTGGCTTATTTTGCTTGTAATGATCACTTATTAATTTTATAATTGCTGGTCTTTGCCTGTATCTCCTACAAACTGAAGTTTTTAAAAGTCATCAATGGCTCGGAGGGAGGAGAAGAATGCAGCGAAAACTGTGTGTTTTGCACATTGATCTTTCATTTATTCATTGTCTCCAGGAATTTCCACGCAGGCACCCTTCCTGGGAATGAGTTAGTGACATCTACTGTGATGACTGATTTCCTCCAAATCTTTAGTCCTCCGAGGATGAAGCAGCCAGGAGCAGAGAAGAAGAAGCTCCTTTCCGCTGTGCCTGCCTCGGCAGCGGCCCCACTCCCCTTCTTCTTAGCGAGATCCTCGGTGCTCATATTTTTCCTCCCGCATCAGAAGGAGTTTGAATGCTCGTCAGGAATTTCTATTTGTCTTCCTGTGTCACCGGCGTGATTCCCATTGCGGACTTGCTGACTTCTGCTTACTGGGGCAGATTAATTTTATTAAGCGAGAGCCGGTAATGGAGGTGAGCAGCTTCGTTTATTTGGGATGTGTCAGCTCTGAGCACTTTTTAATTAATGGCCCCGAGTTTAGACGCTGCAAACAAAAATAAACGTAACCAATGTATTAAAATATCCCAGCATGAACGAAAAGTGAGGGGGCTGGTGAAAGGTATTGATTCTTCCTGATCCATTAGTAGGTGTTCTGACAAGGGTGGCTAGCTAGTCCTGCAGACTTTCCAATGCCACCCCATACTGAAGCTAAGGTACTCTGTGCTTTTTTTTTTGGGGGGGGAGGGGAATTCATTTTCTTAGAGGTTTATCCTCACTGATGACATGAAATAAGGCTGTAGGTGATCTTTTAAGTCTTCTCCACCAATAAAATTGTGACTGTGTTATTTCTATAAAATACTTTAGAGATGATGGTAAAATTGTTTTATGGTGTGACTTTTGAATGAACATTTGATCTTGTCCTGGGAAAAGCTATTTAAGAGAAACCTGTCCATCTTCAAGGAGGGACTCAGAGACTCCCAATTAGGCTATTAAAAACAAGCATAGGCAGACCATAGCATATTCAAGGCATCCCAGCACCTAGGAACACGAGACAGGAAGATTTTTGAGTTCCAGGCCAGCCTGAACTACATAGTGATGTCCTGTATTGCAAACCAAACTAGAAATACAAAAGGCAAACAAAATAACAATTGTCAAAGTAAAAAAAAGACAAACACAAATATATCAGATTCGAGAGGTGAGACTCTATATCTTCTTCAGTTTAGGGTAGAAGAGAAATTCTGAGGATGCCACTGCTGGTTGACTGAAGCCAGTCTGCCCCTACAGTGACTGAAAATGTGCAACAATCTGACACTACCAGCAAGACAGGGCCAACTTAATGTGCATGATTGACACTTAGGTAAAAGAGTTTGCAAAACTGGGTGCCATTAACTCACCAAACACAGTCAAAACATGAGGGAAACACGCTAGGGAAGGCTGACTCCAGTTTTCTGATATGATCTTAAAGAGAAACCAGCCACTACTGTTCAAGTGGCTTCTGGAAGTATCCATCTCCTTCAACATTTCTGTTTTTCCGTGCTGTGACTCAGACTAAGAACATCTCCATAGCATCTAAACTTGGAGCAGAGACTTCTCATGAGGAAAATTATAAGACTTTTGGCACAGGGGAGAATCTATATAGACTAGAATTTTCTCTGTGTTTGCATGTGTAAAGGTACATGTGTGCATATGACCTGAGGCCACAGGATAACATTGGTGGTCATGTACCAGCTTACCCCCCCCCCCCACAGACACACTTCATTTTTGAGGCAGGTTCTCTCATTACTCTGATCCACAGGCCAGACTGGCTGGCCAATGAGACCCAGGCATGTCAACCTCCCTACTCTTATGACTGTGAGCTTTTTACACCATTTAAGGCTGTTTGGTACACATTCTGGGGACAGAATCCAGGTCTTTGGATTTGGATGGCAAGCACTTGGTTTGACCCAGTACCTGACCAGTATTGCTATGCATAACCCTCGTCTTTACCTCTCCCTTACCCATGTAGTACTTTCTCTGGCAGCTATTACTGATTTGCGTTATGATTTCTTTTTGATAATTCTGGCTTGCTCCACACAGTATGACAGAGCCAAGATTTAAATAGAAATGACTTCACTGACCTGTCTCAGTTGACCAGAGGCAAACTCACGCCCCAAAATAGCCTCCACTCCCTTCCTTCCACATATCCCAACAAAGGGAAGACATACACAGCCACTTTGTCTTTTTTTTTTCGATGTATTATACAAACAGAGCCCTTTGGAGAAGCAGCCCTAAAAATAGGTAAGCACAAACATATCTTAATATTTCATGAGCTAAAATTTCAAGGGCCTGGAATTAAAGATAGGCATGTAGCCAGAGATGTATGGAAAAAAATATTTATTGCAGCTTCAGATCTCTAGCAGTAAACATTCTTTTCCCTGGGAGTCCATCTTTGGACTACTGGGATACATTGGTTACTGGGCTGGACATGGTAACTAATAATGTCTCTACCAAACCTTCTTAGGAAGACATTTCCCTGAGGCCTCTCCTCGTGACCTTGAGACAGGGTTTCTCTGGCTAGGTCTGGATGTTCTAGAATTCACTTTGTAGACTAGGCTAGCCTCAAAGTTGGAGATTCTACCTGTCTCTGCCTCCCAAGTTCTGGGGTTAAAGGCATGTGCCACCACTGCCTGGCCTCACTGAAGACCTGTTATGTGTTTCTTTGCTTCTGAATTTTTCTTCCAAATCTCCTAGAGGCTTGATGACTGAGGTTTGACGAGCATATCTCTTACTTTTTTTTTTTTAAAGCTAAATAACCTATAAATGGGATTGTTTCTTGTGAGTAGATCACACTGCTTTTTGTTGTCTTTCGAACCTGTTTGCAGGCACTGTTTATTGGGTACATACCATGCATGGCTTTATTACAGGGCCAAACAAAACCCAGTATAAGTTTGACATCAGCAGAGTTGACTTTTGCTACCTACAGACTTTTCCATTCCAGAGTAAATGCCTTTCCTGTCCTGGCTCTGGACTGAGAACAAGAACCAGATGAAGGATTCTCGTGCATCCCTGTGCAAGCAAAATTAGGAATGCCATCAGCAGAGCCCTCTATGTCGGGGGCTCGGAATAGTCTCTGGTCCACAATATCAAACGCCACATGTGCTTCTAAAACTTGTTTCCGAACCCAAAACATTGAGCTTCTTTCCCAATTCTGAGGATGATTGTATTCACTCAAAATCAGTTTTTCCCAGTTTAGAAGTGAAGCGTTCTTAAGTTTAAATACCACATAGTGATCATTTTCAACCAGAAACACATTTGGACTTTGGTAAGCCTAGGCCCAAGTATAATATTTCTCATTTGGAATGACTTTCTTTTTTTTCATAGCAATAACCTAAGTATTTCTGTCTTATTGCATTTTTCATTCCCGTATGGTTTCAGTCAACACACTATCATTATCAGACTAAAGACTTTTTACATGCAACTGAATTTCAAACTTATAAAATACATACAGAACTATTTGAAAATTCGAATTTAAAAAGTGGGTAGAATCTAATGTGTGCTTCACTTCTTTGGTCATTCTGCAAAGAGATTTACATAAAATCGTTATTTATGTGTATCTCTTCCCTTTCTCTTCTAGAAATTTTAGTAATTCAAACTGTATACACAAAGTGATGAGTGTCTTCAAATATAATGAAAATATTGGATTATACAAATATAAATGAACAGAACACTACTGCTGGGTGCTTTGTTATTATCATGTCTATGAGAAAGAGACAAGGCATTTGTGATGAACACACACATACATACATGCATACATACACACACACACATGTTTTTAAATAAAGCAGACATTTCTTTTCTTCCATGTAAAATGTCAGGCATAAAGCATCGGTGTCTGTGAAGTTACTCCAGATCACAGGGTGCCTGCTGCACGACCAGCTTCCATATCTACATCACTTTGACCAGTCCTAACCAAAACAGAGTATGGCAAAATGTATTCTTTTGTGAGCATAGAATAAATTTATGGTGCTGTTTCAATGTGGGAGCAAGAGGAAAGACTGGAAAATAAACTACCTGAAGTGGTGAGTTATTTGTCTTCCAATCCTAGATGAAGTTTCCTTTCTTTCTCCTTCCTTCCTTCCTTCCTTCCTTCCTTCCTTCCTTCCTTCCTTCCTCCCTTCCTTCCTCTCTCCCTCCCCCTCCCTCCCCCCTCCCTCCTTCCCTTTCTTTCTCCCTTCCTCATTCCTTCCCTCCCTATCTCTTTCTTTCTCTTCCTTCCTTGAGACTGTGTCTTAAGAGATGTGGATATATCTCAGAGGAACATCAAAACTGGAGCATGTATAGACTACTACATTTAACTTGCAGCAACACTGAGTAAGTAAGATAATAGTGAGTGCCTGGGTATTGCTCTATTGTCCGGCTGAAACTTTGGACTCAGGTAATTTTCTTACTTCAGATTCTCAAATAACTGGGACCACAGATGCATGTCACCTCCTATTTTCCTTCCTCCTCCCTCCCTCCCTTCCTCCCTCCCTCCCTCTCTCCCTCCCTCCCTTCCAATACCGGACAGGTCTCTGTCTACTATCTTAAGTAGACTAAGTGGGTAGACTAACACTGCTCAATTACTTTCTCTTCTCATTTAAGATGTTGAGTAATTTCTGTCTGTTTTTTAAAAAAATCTTTTAAACATTTCTTCCTTAGTCTAAAATGATGTCTTTCCTCATCTCCACATTCATAAATACATATTCTTTATTTACTTATTTCCAGCTTAAAATAAAATTGCATTATAACTGCTGCTGCTTTGTCACTGCCTCCCACAACAAAATGCCAAAGACATGCCTAGCCAGGTGTAGTGGCCCACACCTTTAATCCTAGCACTCAGGAGGCAGAGGCAAGTGGATCTCTGCTTGGAGTTTCAGTTGTTCAGCCAAGGCTGTTACAAATCCCTGTCTCAAACAAAAAGGAAAGAAAGACATTTATTAATGAAATCTAAAGCATATCGCCTTCTGTTCCTAGCCGTTTTCACATGGTATGTTTATCTACCATGTAGCATGGAAGAGAAGTTTATTTTCTTTGCATTTAAGCAGTTATACTCAGGGGACAGGGCATTGAATCTCTCATAGAGAAATTTGGCAGTACAAAGAGGCATATTTGGATGTACTGTCTGGGGAGAATGATGCCAGTATGTGGCAGGTAGAAACCGGGAATGGTGCCAAACATCCAGAGCATAAGGATCAGCTCACCACGCCAGAGTTATGCGGCCAAAATAACAATTTTAACCAAGAATATCAAATACCTAAGTTTGTAATACTTAATTATCGATTATGTTGTTTGTGGACAGGAAGCTTTTGTTGTCTTCCTGTGAGCATTTCATGAGTAGGGCAGCAGAGAACATGCTGGCATTTATCTCTTAGCTTGCCTGTGTGTGCATTCACTTCATGGTAGACAGGGTTTAAATGGGGGCATATTCAACTTCACAAAACTACAGTTTTTCCTTATAAATGATTGTGGTGTGCCAGTGAGATGGCTCAGCAGGGAAATATGCTTGTTTTACAAGCCTGGTGACCA